TCCGTTAAAAATCAATTTTGGAATCAGCGAAAATTTCTGCACAAAATATGCTGGGTAATAAAGAAATATTGATGCGATTAATCAGAAAGAAAATTACCCCAGGTGCAACTGTCGCTGGAACGCGTTTTTCAAACGGCAAGAAACGCTTGCGCAACAGTTGTTCGATCACCTCGGGCAGCTGGAAATCGTACATTGCCTAAAATTCCAATTTTTTTTGGGATTTTGTAGTGCAATGGAAAGGATAACTAGTAAAATCGTGAACATTTCAGGGAGTTATTCAAATCGATATTTGGAACCCGAAAAATTAAAAAAAATTGGTTGTATGCCTAGTTAATAGGTGACGAGAGCTGACCAAGTTTCAAAACCGCGCGCGTATTGGCCTAGTTGCTCGAATGTGTTACTGTGAGAGGTAAGATGATCTTTATTGTTTTACCAAAAGAAAAATGTATGGTAAAAAGCGAGATATGAAGAGAGGGAGAGAGAGAGAGAAGAGAGAGAGAGAGAGAGAGGAGAGAGAGAGAGAGAGAGAGAGAGGTTGCGAGCGAGCGATAGTGAACCAGAAAGAGAATGCGAGGTTGATAGGGAGGGAGATCACCTGAAAGTGAGAGCGAGATCGTGAGAAAGCGAGAAAACGTGACAGGGGGATAGAGAGCGAGATAAAAAGAGAGAGAGAGGGAGGCAGAGAGAGAGAGAGAGAGAGAGAGGGGTGAGAGAACCAACCAACAAGTTTCGTTTAACAAATGATGCATCAACCAGGAAAGATTGCAGTATGCTTGTGACCAAATCTGATTGTCAACCTTTGCCCATCTGGCCGCGAGATCGACACATGAAAATCGTCAATGGGCGTCGGGTTGAACTCGTCCAAATTCCATTTGAATGCGGGTAGATGGCAGTTTGGCCGCATCCACTCCATCTCGAATGTGATCCGCTCAATGGTTCGCCATCCGTCCCTCCAACCCAGCAGGAAATGCCTCATGTAGGCGACGTGCCAATGGCCGGCGTGATACTCAACAATGCGCATCCGCAAATTAGTGAACCTCCCATACCAGCCGATTTGGAAGGTATCTAGGGGCATTGGATGTACAAGTTCTTCCGCTGAGGCCCTTAGAAAATCGATGACGCCGAATGGTACAGCAACGCAGCCTGGGTAGATGATCTCGACACGCCGAAACTTGCCCGCGGGATTGTATGTTCTTAACTGCGCAACACTCCAGTATTGAATCCATTGAATGGTCAGATGGTCGGCCTGTAGCGGTGGAAGGGTGAAATAGGGGTGTGGATGGGTTAGATGTACTTTTCCGACGCTTGCGCCCGCCAGGAGCTGGCCCCACATCCGCAGACTGTAGATGTAGTTCGATACGTCTTTCCGGGTAACCCTTGTCCCACGATGTTCCCAACTTCGCATCCGGATCTCGCTGAAGTAGCGTGGGCTCGAGCAGACGAATTCCCAGCTTTTCCGGCTTGTTATAGCAAACGCAAAGAGGGAGTTGGGATCGACGTTGAGGTAGGAGATGATTAAGTGTTTTACCAGGCGTGGGAAGGCGTGGAAGCCGACTTCCTGTAATTCTGAGTTTGAATAAAGTTTGCAACTTCCGGATAAAAGGACCCACAACGGGTCTTTTGGGAATTGTGCGATGTGCCCTAGCTAGTTCGCTAGGGCTTGAAATTTTGCAAATCCTATTTTTTTTAATGTTCTTAAAGGAATCGCTTATCTATAACGAAAAACCTGCTCTCAAATGGCTGCTTCTGCCTTTTTTTTAGCCTGGTTTTAACATAACGTCAATTTTTTTAAAATTTTTTCGAAGACCAAGATTATCGTTGAACACTTTTTGAAAGCTGAGCGCTGTTCAAAAAGTCGCCGTTTATCGCAGGAGTTCTCTTACATCGAGAAACTTAGGATACAGCCTAGACTAATTCTACCGTAGATTTTTCAGCATACGATTTTCATCGCGTCAAAATTAATCCTTTTACCTGATCCTCTGGGGTTGCAGGACCCTCTTTTTCACAAATGCTGAGAGCCTGCATCATCGCGGTTAACTCGTCGCTCCCGCCAGACGGCTCCATTTCCTAAATATGCTTCAAATCGGGAGAAAACCACTGCGATAGGAAAAGGAGACTGCAGTCTCCAGCTTAAAGGTTCTATTTTAAAGTGATAATTGGTAATGTAATCGGTTTCTCGGATAGCCCCCTTTCGACAGCAACCCGTTTGAAAGGCGCAGATGTTGGCCTGGTTCTTTGGAGTCGGATTTTCCAGTTACGTTAATGAGGGGAAGGTTATACTCCAAATTTTGCGATGAACCGCTTGGATACGCTCGCCTTCGCTTGATTTTTACAACGATTAAGGAAAAGGAAATGCATGTGTTACGCGGATTCTTGCAATTTTCTCAAATTTTTGACCAAAGTGGTCTTATCTGCTAATTGTCGAATTAATGAGAGCCGGATACATTAATGAGAGTGTGCAGATGTGAGCCTACCTTATGCAAAGATTTTTACCGGTACCTAATCGGAGTTTCCGAGCTTTTGAGGCGGCCGTGTTGAAAGAGTTGTGCGGCTCCAAAACCGCCCAAAATGGCCGAATTTCGCGAAATCGTCGTATTTTTTTTGCCCTGCAACGGCTGCTGACTTTCCTTTACCCTGTCGGTCGGCAGATTTGGACAACATTCGAAACGAGCGTAAAATTCTGCAGCCGCAAGTTAGAAGAATGTTGCAGCAACACGCTGTCACGCGCGCAGTTGCTCCCCCCAGCCCGTGGATCCATTTTTTTGGCGATGTATGTTATATTTGCCACGCCAGTACCATCCCAAAAATTTATTAACAATTCGTAACTAAACCTAAGCAACGTATTCAACAAAAACAAGAAAGTTGCAAAGTCACAAGGTATTCAGTGTTGTCGCGCAGGAAATCGATGAGATCGGAGGGGATTCTGTCGGGCACATAGGACAATTCAATGCGTCGGAATTTGCCGCCCGGCTTGTATCCCTGCAAATTTCCATTGAACTTTTCGAAAATAATGGTTGCGCCGTTCATTGTTTGGAAAAGCCCCTTATTTGGAAAGTTTGCGAAAATTCGAGGAATTGATATCAAGGGTTAAAAATAGACAATTTTCGAAAGAACAACCTCTCGGGAAAATGGTTTTTCTTTTGAAATCTATGGAAAATATGACTTTTGGAATATTAGGCATCTGCAAAAAATGTCTTCCAAAGGCTGTTCGCAAAAAGTGATTTCCGAAACAATGATCCTTTCCAAAATATGATTTTTAAGACCACGATCCTTCGCGAAACTACCTTTTTCAAAAAAAAAATATTTTTGGAAGGTGGTACTCCTCGCAAAAATATGTACTTGAAAATATTATTTTACGAAAAATGATTTTTGGCAAACATTTTTTTTCCGAAATCGTTCTTCGAAAAAATGCTAGCTCGCCATACCTGCAGTTTTTCGACGCTCCACGGTGCGAAGCCATGAACCACAAGTTTTTCGGCAAGCAATGGCGGAGGGGCCTGGCAGGAGCCTGAGCGCAAGAATAATATTCCGACTCGAGCGCCTTCGATGATCCGTCTCCAAACGCCAACGTCACTCGCCCAGTAACGCGCTCCATTCCTCATGATACACACCGTATGGTCCTCAAGGATGTCGCCCATCCTGATCTCGTCAAAATACCGTGGGCTCCGGCAGACAAGATCCAAGCATGTCCGGCTGACCGTCGCGAATTCGGCGAATGAACGGAGGTCGCAGATTATGTAGGAAATGATGTTGCGCTTCACCATGTCCGGCAAATTTAGGAAGTCGAGGGCGTGAGATTGAGCTGTAGGGATGCCTTATAGCGTATATAAAGCAGGCTTTAATTTGTTCTAAAACTAGGTTTCCGTAAGGTTTTCAATTGACCATTTTTGGTCACAAGTCGAATGCGCCATCAGATAAAACGGTGGAAGCACAGATCTACGCTAAAAATACTGACATATTCAGCATCATCTAAAGAATTCTTCTCCGTAGTATCCGGAAGCAAAAGCTGCTGTAGCTCCCGGGTCATTCTGGGTGCAGGAAGCGTTATTTCTTAAAAAAGTCTATTTCACAGATTGAAGACTTGGAAATGGGAGAGAGAACGAAGGATCAAGAGAGAGAGAGAGAGAGAGAGAGAGAGAGGGGGGGAAAGCGAGAGAGAGAAAGAGCGAGAGAGCGAGAGAGAAAGAGAGAGATACCTAGGTATTATATTTGGATATCCTGATTCGGACAAAGGTTTAATTCCCAAATTCGCGCAGACGTTGACCTAATTTATTGATGCGTCTATTTTACTAAGAAGCCGATGTCCCGCTACTACTTCGAATTTCCGATTCAGCCTCCCTGCGAAAGTCAACTCTTACAATCAGCTATCGTTCTCCTTGGTTTGCATTTTCTCATGTTGTCGATGCTCCACCTCCTTATTAGCATAACTTTATTCATTAATCCACAACATGTATATTTTGTATGCTTACAACCCTGGCGAGAGGCGAATAATTGAATCTGGCAACCGGGTGAGGGGGTAAATCACAAACTGAATCGAGATAAATGAAAGAAAAAATGACATGCAATATCGAAAAGATTTGGATGACTAGAAATGGAGTTACTGTCACAAAAAAATGTATAAGACTATTTAAAAAAACACACAAACACTATACAACACTATTTCACGGGGTTTGGTGTTAATTGAGACCGGTATTTGTGTAGGATGGGGCATGGAAGAGAGAGAGAGAGAGAGAGAGAGAGAGAGAGAGAAGCGGAGTGAGAGTGATAGATAAAACGCGGCTGATCGAGAAAAACAGCTTTATTTGACAGTGAAAGTGAAGAAAGAGCTTGGGAAGGGGTTTTTGTAATGGCCGTATATTGCTTCGAACCGGGGTCATGGAAATCAGATGAAACAAATAGCGTTTTTGATAAGGTAATTTTTGAAGCTACATTTCCGAGGGCTTTCTACCGAGATCGTGATCAGATTTATGAACCCAGGGACGCGATCTCCCTGATATCTATTTGTTATATTTAAAATGACGTTTCAGGTATATCTCGTCTCCAAGCGGCGTCATGACGACCTTGTTGAGGATGACGCTCATCTCCAGGTGGGAGCGCTTCTTCTCGTTGAAACGCACGAAGCTCTCCACCATCATCAAATACTTGCCGAATTTGGCGACGCCCTAAAAATTGCGTATTAAGGTTTTCGAGAACCGGAGAGGATCAGCGAGAGCGAGAGAGAGTAGGACGGAGCTAGTCAAACAGCGAGAAAGAGTGAGAGAGAGAGAGAGAGAGCGTCAGAATGAGCATAAGCTTGCTATCTTACCTTTGCTTCCCCATATTGAGAAATCAGAAGCCGATGCAAGCAGCAGCACAATCGGGCCCTCTCGTTGTCGACAATCTTCTGACCCTCGGGCGACAGATCGCAAAGCCCTGCAGAACGATAAATTAAATTTCAGCAACTTGGAATTCCGAAGGCTTTAATTTAAGGGGACACTTTCAGCAGCTTGGGTTTTCCACAAATCGTGGAAAAATTTGCATGCGAAACGCTTGCTCCTCTCACCAGGGCGCGCTCTCTAGCCGGAAATCCATGCAAATTTTTTCATGGTTGACCCCTTTAAAGCTAGTTGAGCCCTTACCTGGAGTAAAAAGCAAAATCGCCTTCATCAGAATGTAGTGCTGCTTCTCCATGCCGCAATTTCGGATCAGCGCAATCGGCCGGCAATAGTTCTCGCGGAAGTAGTCCTCGAAACGATGGTCACTAAAGAAAATTTTGTACCTTTGCCTTGTTTGATGCCACGATGTAGTAAGGAAACAAAGAGAGCTTGCAGGCGGAATATGACTTACAATCGTGTCAGCTGGAACGACAACGCATCCAGGCCATCCGGAAAGATGAGCTTCTCGCTCTTCTGTTCTAACGAGCAAAAAGCTTGGAGCAAGATGAGGATCATGCCGACGACTTGCGAAAGAAGGATCCGCTGAAATTAGGGCGATTTCAAAAACGATCGCTGCTAGCTCCCCGATATCTCTCTCTCTATCTCTCTGCCGCTCTCCCTCCCTCTCCCTCTTACTCTCCTTTTTTATTACCAACCTGATCAAACTCTTTCAACTGATGAAAAGCGGGAAACGTTTTGGCGTATTCACAAGCCAAGAGCATGTCAACGACCATCCAGAATTTGATCGGATTCTTCTTGTAAACCTGCATCGTCGATTCCTCTCCGGTTAACTAAAAAATCCAATAGCTAATCAGGCTCATTAAGCTTTATACCTTGCACATCTCCACAAAACTTTTCCCCAGTATACAGGGTTTTTCAAGGAGTTCAGGTAATGTGATGTCGAAAGACCATGGGCATTCCTGGCGTCGCATGTAGACGGTCGAGGTTTCTTTTCGCATCTAAAATTTTGGATTGCAAGGTGATTGAAAGACATGGCCTAGCAATAATTTTAACCAGGTTTAGGGTTTTTAAATCGTTTAAAAATTTCGTTAAAAACCTGCCAGGGTATCGAGCAGTTCAGCAAAAGCCGTATCTTCTCGCGAGGCCAACGAGACGACTTGCATTTGCATCTAGAGCAAAGGCTTAAATGACGCTAATGTTGGCAGAGAAAGAGAGATAAAGAGCGAGAGAGAGAGAGAGAGAGAGAGCAACTGAAAAGTCACAAACCTGCTCCTCATAATCATCAGTCGGCGAGCTCGTCCCCGCTTCATCATCGTCAAATATCTCTTCTTTTGCGGTTTTTGCGGGGTATTGAATTGCTAAAAAAACATTATACCCTTCAATTTTTAGTATTTAGCTTACCATTTGGGTCCATTCCCACCAGAACACATTTCTGGAAACGACACGCTCGACAGGCACACCGGAAATCCTTGTCAAAAGAACATCTACCGCCCTTCGAGCAGGTGAACTTTCGGTTGGCGATGATGGTGCTGAACGAAAAGTAATGGACATGTTCGTTATCCTACCGCCTGAAGAACGTCTTGCAGCCGTTACAGGAGATCGTACCGTAGTGGTAGCCGGTTGGCTGAAAGGATTTTATTATCGCATGGTTTCTCGATTACACCAATTAAATTTTTACTTTATATTAAGCTGCAAAATTTTGTATAGCCAAGATAACGATTCTTCATTCGTTTTTTTTGTCAATTCCGCTGCACAGAACTGTACAGTTTCAAGTTCTAGTGGCTTACCTTATCCCCACACACCGCGCACTTGAATTTGTCCGATTTCCGGATGTTTTTGAACTTCTTCACAGGCAAGACGCTAAGGCTGGGCGAAGGTGACATTAGCGCCTAAATGATTTGGGTAACGCGAAAAAAGCATAATTACCAATTGACAGGTTGGCGAGCTGTCCGAGTCTAGCGATTCTTCATACCCGGTGGATTCGGATTCATCTTGCTAAAAGAGAGAGATATACAACATTTACGAAGCCTAGCCTTATTGATTAATCAATAATTTTACACAAATTTTTTATTTTACAAATATATCTGTGAGATTGGTTACAGAACGAATAGGAGCTTCGCTCCTTAAATTAGATTTGTATAAATGCGAAACCGAGCAAGAACTATCAGAAAAAAACCAGTAAAGCAGGTTTACGAGCCGACGCGATCAAAAAAACTAGGAAATTTTCTAAAATTTCCGCGTAAGAAAAACACTGCTTCCCCCCACGGAACTTTTTAGATCCTATCCAAGACCAAGAGCTCATAAGGACAAAGATAAATCTGCATAAATCGAATACAAGATTGGTTGCTTTAGCCTCGGGCAGACCAAGTACAAAATTCCCCCGTGTTCTCCCCGTGTCCCCCGCAGATCTGAATCAATATTGGGGGAGCATGTGGGTGGGCAAGTGGGAGATATGCAGTGCTGGATGGCGCTGAACTGTCTGCATTTTATGCTCCCGATATGGATACAAATCGGGGAACTGTAGATTTTGCGGAATTAGGATTGGGACGAGCTTTGTTCAAGCTTTTTGTAATTTTATAGGGATGCGAGCTTGCGGCGACAAGTTCGGGAAATGGAGAGAGCGAGAAAGAGAGCGAGAGAGAGAGAGGGAGAGAGAGAGTGAGATAGATTAAGCCAGAGAAACAATAAATTAGAGGGCAAGCGAAATCAAAGAGTGATCACAACTACGCAATACTACGGAAGCGACTAATCGTTTGGAATTTACGATTTTACGCAAGAAATAGGCGAGAAAGAGGAAAAATAAACAATAAACAAGTATTTACGTAAAAACCCACCGTTGCATCAGGATCAATTTTCGTGACGGGATTTATGATGGGTTGGGCTCTCAGCAAAAAGCCTTGGTAGAAATCGGGACTCGAAGCTTGGTTTCCAGGTCTTTTGGCCACCACTCCTCCACCCCACTCGCCAAGATCGGTCATCATCTTTATCTGGAAACAAAAAACTTAAGTCGGCTTAGTAGAAAAGAAAGAGAGGAGAGAGAGAGAGAGGGAGAGAGAGAGAGAGATGGCGAGAGCAAATAAATTAGGGTTCGAAAAAGACATCAATCAATTTTGTTACGTCAAAAAATGCAAAAAGTCGCTGCTCCATTCCAAGAGAGTAGAGAATAACAAGGGGTATGGGGATGCGCCAAATCGATCACTTTCTGCACGTAAATAAGGAATCGCAGAGCCGGTTCCCGATCTTTTGCCTTGACCACCCGGGAAACCGGGATCTCCGGGGTTTTGAGACGCAGCTCGCGAGTTGAAAATTTTGGCAAATTAGAAAAATGGCATGAAGTAGCTTGAAGACAAAAAAGAGCAAGCGGGAAGCTTGAACCGAGGGCAAGCGAAATCAAAGAGTGATCACAACTACGCAATACTACGGAATTCCGCGACTAACCTTTTGGAATTTACGATTTTACGCAAGAAATAGGCGAGAAAGAGGAAAAATAAACAATAAACAAGTATTTACGTAAAAACCCACCGTTGCATCAGGATCAATCTTCGTGACAGGGTTAATGATGGGCTGGGCTCTCAGCAAAAAGCCTTGGTAGAAATCGGGACTCGAAGCTTGGTTGCCAGGTCTGTTGGCCACCACTCCTCCACCCCACTCGCCAAGATCGGTCATCATCTTTATCTGGAAACAAAAAACTTAAGTCGGCTTAGTAGAAAAGAAAGAAAGAGAGAGAGATGGAGAGAGAGAGAGAGATGGCGAGAGCGAATAAATTAGGGTTCGAAAAAGACATCAATCAATTTTGTTACGTCAAAAAATGCAAAAAGTCGCTGCTCCATTCCAAGAGAGTAGAGAATAACAAGGGGTATGGGGATGCGCCAAATCGATCACTTTCTGCACGTAAATAAGGAATCGCAGAGCCGGTTCCCGATCTTTTGCCTTGACCACCCGGGAAACAGGGATCTCCGGGGTTTTGAGACGCAGCTCGCGAGTTGAGAATTTTGGCAAATTAGAAAAATGGCATGAAGTAGCTTGTAGACAAAAAGAGCAAGGGGAAGCTTGAACCGAGCGGAAGACAAGCCTAAGCTCAAGTTCAAGCCAGTCCCAAGCCAAGCATATGCCTAAGCTTGACCCTGAGCGCAAGTCCGCGTTAAGCCTAAAACGTCAAATGCCGTTTCATGAAAGGTTAGCTTGAGATCAGAAAGGCGTCACCGGGCCGCAAATTAACAAAGTTAGCGTAATTGACCCTCGCCACACCGCTGCGCCACTGCCAAAGTAGCGGTTTACGGGCGGGAATTGATCCCGGAGTAGAGGTTTGGGCAGCTGCGGTGCCCGCGCTTATTTCGGCGAAAATTGGAGGGCTCGAAAAGGGTTCGAGAGAGAGAGAGACCGAGAGAGTGAGAGAGAGAGAGCAATGGAAATTCGCGAAAAATACTGGGACAATGGGTGAGGGCGAGGGTCGAGTGTTTGGACCCGGAATTCAAGCGAGGGGAAAATGATTCACAAAACGGTGGCATCGGCCAGCCGGAAATATGTAGACAAGCGCGCTGTGTGGATTGGATGGGTTATTGGGCGAAAAAATGGAACTATAGGTGTAGGCGGGTTTGGGTTATAATTGGTACCTACGGTGGCTACTGGATTGCTTTAAAAAGGCTACGAAATTGGCTAGTCTGTGCTTCTTCTGAAAGTTTAGAGACTCTCTGAAGGAAAACCTTTAGGTTGGAGCTTAGCGGTCTCAGAAATTAATAGATCGTAATGTGGAAGGTTATTGATGGAAAAGAAGATTTTGTATATTGGGTTTTGTCGGTATTTTTGAGTCCTTGCGGGAACCTTTAAGAGAATCGTGTTGAATTCGAATTTCTCAACATTCAGGCTTCTTTGAAAAATTTCCAGCTGCAACAGAGTGTACCCAGGTGTTATTCTGGAGTGGACCAAGGAATCTGGGAGGCTAATTGCCTTATCAGCCCCGAAACCGAATTAGTGCAGTATTCCCGGCGGATATCCGGTGACGACACATGGTCTCCTTCCAAGCGGCTGTACTAGATAGATTCCATGAATCGAATTTTTGATGCAAATCGCCGGGGGTTACAGTGTGTTAAAAATTTTTATAGGGGCGCCCCCAAAGGGGGGGTTTTTGGGGGGGGGGGTATATTTAATGTTTTTTTAAAAATTTTATTTTTGGCACTATTAACTGCAATATTTGTGAATATAAAATCGAGACGCCTGCCAAAAACTACAGTACGGAACAAAGAACAACACAATACAGTAACTCCATGCCCTTTCGATGCGATTCAGTTATACTCTGTGGCCACCCTCGGCCGCCTCTTTAAACGCACTAATAGTCATCACGTTGGCGAATCGTCTTGTGCCGAGTTGTGCAATTACGCCCCCACACGCCGTGGTCGCTCGATGGCGGGCTCAAAATAACACAGGAAGACGCATCAAAACGATAAGGAGGGTTTGAAAAATCAAGATTCGTGTGCTTGACGCGCTCGGATTCGTGCACTACAGCACGAAGTAGAAAGTGAAGTTACAGTGAGTTGTGCACCTGACTGGTACGTGGTAAAATACGGCCTTCTGGGGTGCCTTAAGTTTTTATTTATTTTATTTATTTTATTTTATTAAAATTCACAGGAAACATAGATAAGTCATCTGCGCTACATTAATTAAGAGTTACTTGGCTACATCGTCCCACAATGAAAGCCACTATCGATACTTACACAGTTTCGGCAGAAGCCTAAAAATCTAAAAATCCCCTTCCAACAATGCAACAATATCCCGTGCGAACTTTCCCAAACCGTCAGCCGTTTACAGCCACCCGACCGGGGAGTGCGGGCTTAATCGCAAAATTAGCCCCGATTCGCAGAGCTACTGCCCGGCCTTGTCCTCGAATAGGTCATGGGGCACAAGTCACAGAGTCTCTATAGTTTCTAGTCCCTTTATTCGGGAATTTCATAACATTGGAATGCGGGTATGTATGCCCCCGTTAATCCGCGCAAATCGCTCTGAATAGCTGGTCACATAGGCGGGAAAGGGAAATGAGATTTGGCCAGTCGAAAAAAGCAAATAATCTTGTTTGGACCTTGGAAAAGCCTAATTTCTCGGAAACTGAAGATTTGCTGGTTGGGATATACTATAGTGCCTCAATTTTTTAAAAGAAAGCTTTTTTATTTTAGCGGCATTTCCAGGCCTTGAAGTTCGGCTTACAACACTTTACGTTCTTCAAGGGTGAGAATTATCCATTTTCAATTGTAAAAACCCTTAGAAATTACGTTAAAGTCTTGTAAAATATTACTGTAGCCAAAAGTAAAACTTTCGCCGTCTCATAAACTCGTACTAAAGATGACTTTCCTTATACGCGGGTATACAGATGTTTAAAACCAGGCATAAGGGCTTCGACTTAACGCACTTCCTTTCTTCCCT